GTGTTAAAAAAAAAAGCAATTTGCTAATACTCCACTTGTTCTGTTAAAGGGATTGGATAATCCTTCCAGTGAAGCATTGTAACTAAAGCCAAAATTTCCATCTCCCTTGACTCTGACACACGTTGACACTCAGATATCGTATGAGGGTCCATCGGAAACCCAAGAAATGCATGTTTTTACTGGGCTCAGACTTGGTCTCCAAATAGAGACTTCTGAATGCAAACACCTAGGTATACAAGTCTCCACTGAGGAAATTGTAAATTGGATAAGGCATCTTGGGACATGTTATGGAACAGCAGAGCAGAAATATCCAGTGAGGAAAACTGGGAGCTGGGGTTTGGAGGGTATACCTTCTCAGTGTTGGGAAGAGTATACAGTGAATTTTCAGAATATGCAATCCTCCTTCCCCAACCCTTCCCAGATCTAGCTTCCTTCCCTCCACATCCAACTTTTTGCCTTTTTATCCCCCCCCCACCCAATAAGGTTAATTTGTGCTGCCCAAATACTCTTGGATGTGTGTCCTTCTACTAGAGTGTGTTTGACTTATCAGGCAGGGACTTCACCAACTAAACCTTCCTTTCCCAGACCTTCTGAAGTGCTAATAGCTCCTCAGTTAGTGGAACTTTGTGCTCACCTCCCCTCTCTGTGATTTGGTCTGGCTTGGGCTTGCATGGTCTTGTGCATACTGTCACAACTGCTGTGAGGTCATATGTGCAGCTGCACTGATGTATCCAGAAGACACGGTTTTCTTGGAGTCATCTACTCAATGGCCCTTGGACTCCTTTTACCCCTCTTCAGCATGGTAGGGTCCTGTCAGTTAAGGCTGGATAAATAACGGGCATTCTAATGTCCCTTGTTAAGAAGTACCCTATCACTAACAACTTAGTCTTACAGAAACCACATGAGAAACATGACTTCCTCCTACCAAACTATCCAGCACTGATGGGTTGCACCAAAGGCAGTATAATAATTAGAATTTGCACCATTTCTCAACAATTATAGCTATTGCACCATCCTTATTTTTTGCTGTATTTGGGAATGAACCTTAGCATGCTAGACAGACATTTTACTACTGAACTGCATCATTCCTGCCTCCCCCATTTGATTCTATTCTGTGATAAGAAGCATACTCAGCTATATAAGAAATGGGTACTTTTTTTCTGTTGTAATTATGGGTTGCCGAGTTTTATCTTAATTTTTTTTTCAGTCTGACCACATAGTAAAATGAAAACCCAGATTTTTGAAACTTTCTCACAAAATTACAGCAGATCTTTTAATCTGTAATATGTGGTCAAGCTAAAATTAGAAGCACTATGTATTTTAATCTGAAATGAAATGTAAAGATTTTACAAAGTGGGTCTCTTAAATAATGTTTGAAGTCTTCGATGTGTATAGCATGAAAAAGGTACAAGATTGTGGCTCTTTCATGATGTTGGGGAAATTGAGCATCTGTACATGTCTATTCTTTTCTTGTTTGTTCTTATTTATTTAGTGTACATCTACTTCATCATGTCCTAGAAATCCATATAGCTGTCTGCTGGAGAGTGCTGTGTGTCTGCTGCCATGCTCTTTTGGTTGTAGTTTTGGAAAAGCAAGTGGGTGGTGTTGGGTTTCGTTAAGTAGAATTTTAATTAGATCTAGTGTGTTCTCTTTTATTAAAAGACAATACATTTCCTCTTTAGCATGCTGGCCATGCTTTATTCTCATAGAGGACTTTCTTTTAATCTGCCCTTAATTTCCTGTCATTTTTCATTCAGACAATCATTGCATTTTTCTAACTTGTCGAAATGTTTGATAATTTTCCACTTTTATAAACCTAAACTAAGAGATACTCATTGTCTCTTTCAAGGCCACTTCTAATCTGTTACAAATATCCTGTCACTAAGATCATTCTTTGCTCTCTGAGCAGCTGCCCATGCACCCTGGCTGCACTAGATTATTGCATTCCCGTGAAACTATTTTTGTGCCTCCTATGCCTTTTGGAACCCTTTTATCTACCAACTATATTCCATTCCCCATTACTGCCACCACTTTCCCCCTAGAGCATGCAGCAGATAAAATCGATAGTGTCCTTGAAATTCCACACTGGAGTTGGCATGTCTTCTCACCTCTTCTTCCTTCCGTAGTACTTAAACTGTAATCAATAGCTTTTAATGATATTCTTAGTAAAATGACGTTTCCTTCTACTCCTCAACCACTTTATGAATTCCTAAATGGCCGCACCAGTAAAATAAAAAGCCTGGACCACATTTTCCTTGTTGATCATTGCCCAGCTCGATTGTGGTCTTATATGTTTCCTTCCCTTTACAACAACAACAGTAATAATAATAATAAACTAAAGTACTGCTATTACTTTTCTATTTCCCTTGAATATATTCTGCTCTCTTTTACTTACCCCACTTGAGCAGACTTCCCTTTTTAGAAGTCTGAATATCCCCATGTTGCTAAATACCACAGTCACTTCTCAAGCCCCATCTTTCTTTGCCTGTCATCTATGTTGTCCATAGTCTATTCTGTGTTGAAGTGTACTATTTCCTATTCTTGTGAAACACTGATTCCCTTAATGTTTCTTGAAAATGCCATAGACACTTGGCGCTTTGCATCTGATATCCCTGGCTGGAATTCTTCCCACAGACACTCTCCTGGCTCTCTTAGCACTTCCTCCGGTTCTTTACTCAGGGTCATCATTTGCAGATTATCTACTAATCACCCTCACTCCTCACCACCTATTTTGCCTCCTCTCACATCCCTGAAAAAATTTAAGAGAAAAAAGGAAAAAGAACAGAAAAATGTAAAAGGAGAAATCTCATCATGGCAGCTGTAGTGTGACACAGTGAGTCACAAAGTAAACCCTCTTGTCCATATGTCTTTACTTGCAAGTGTTCATTGCACAGAATCATTGGTCTGGTTCAAGACCTCTGGTTTCTGCTACACTGTCAATGCTGGGCCCTCACTGGAAATCCTTTTGTTGCTGTGTGTCATGGAGATCCTGCAGCTTTAGGTCTGCAGGACCAGTCCCTTCACATGCTCCCACAGATCATGGATGGGGTGGATGTTGTGGTGGGCCACCTCATAACCCTGGTTCTGGGGCTAGGTTGTTTCAGGGTTGGTCAGCCCACCAGCTCTTCCAGAGCTCTCCAGCAATGCCCAGCTAGCTCACCTCTTGCAGTGATGACCAAGAGGTGAGTCCAGTTCTCCTGCTCTCATGCCCTCAGGGTCTGCACTCCCAACACTTGCACCATCAGGGCTTGTTACTGTGTTGCCCTTGTGGGGTACAGGGCCCACTTTCCCAAGTGCTACAGGTGGTAAGAGGTCAGCTCCTTCACCCTCCCATCACATGGCAGATGAGGAGGGTGTGGCCAGCTATCCCACTCTGGAACCCTCTGAGCCATCTCACCCACACCTCCACCAACAGGGTCAACTTAACTGTGCTGCCCAGTGAGGAGCAGGGCCTGTTTTCCTAAGGGTTGCAGCTGGTAAGGGGGGGGGGATGGGCCCTTGTTTGTCACAGTCTGCAAGGGTTCAGGGGAACATCTCTTCCTTGCCCATTCCGCTACATGACGGAGTGGGGACAGCTTGCCCATGCTTACAACTTCGAGGTTGGCCCACCTGCAAACAGGGTCAGCCTAGTTATGCTGCCTAGATGAGATGCAGGGCCTGTTCCCATTCTCCCTGAGTGTTGCAACTGGTAATGTAGAAGGGGAGAGAATCTTTACCTAGCTCCCATCACCACTCCACAGAGGAGGGAGGTGGTACTAACCATGTCCCCCTCATTCCCTCAGGACTGGCTCATGAGTCAGCACTGTAGACAGGGGCACAGGGCCCCTTCTCCAGAGAGCTGCAGTTGGTGAGGGGTTCGTTTAATCCCAGCACTCAGGGGGCAAAGGCAGGCAGATCTCTGTGAGTTTGAGGCCAGCCTGGACCCCAGAGGGAGTGCCAGGATAGGCTCCAAAGCTACACAGAGAAACCCTGTCTCAAAAAAAAAAAAAAAAAAGAATATATGGGAAGCACAAATTGAACTTAATGGGTAAAAAAAAAGGACACAAAAGTTGGGTGGGTAGTGAAGGCTCTGGGAGGAGTTGGGGGAGGGATGAATATGTATGAAATTCCTAAAGAGAATATTAAATAAGAATTTTAAAAGAATAACTGAGGACATGAGTAAATATTGATTATAAAATGTTAATAAAATATCTTCATAAAAAGGGTTTTAAAATTCCAGCAGCTTAGGAGATTGTGCTTCCTGCACAAGCCTTGGTACCCAAGTTTGGATCTCATGCACCCAAATAAAACCAGCACAGGCCCAGAGCAGAGTGGCAAAGCAGGAGCGCCTTGAAGCTTGCTGGTCAGCCAGTCTAGCAAAAACGCTGAGCTCTAGGTCAGTGAGAGACCCTGTCTGAAATAAGGTGGAAAGGAAAAGAGATATAGATACCTAAAGTCACCCCATGCCTTAACAACATATACACACAAACATATAAATGCACATGTGCACACACACATAGACCACACACACAAACAAATGGAAAGTATGAATTCAGGAGTGGTTTTTCTTTTTAATGGAGCCAGAGGGATAGCTCACTTGGTAAAGGTGCTTGCTCCTAACCTTGATGACCCAAATACCAGGCCCCATTGTCCTCCACATAGGTACCATGGCACTGCCATGCTCATACACAAAAATGCAGTTTTAAAATAAAAAGATAGGATACATAGAAACAACTAACATCATATCTCTTGTTCTAAACACCATACTAGTATTATCCATGAAAATCATTATAGTGTCTCAAAAAAAAAAAGTACTATTGATATCATTATGAAGCTAGTAGGTGGTAGAACTACCTAACTGAAAGCTACATTTTATCTATGGTGCTTACTTTCTCTGTTGAGGAATTCTCTAAGGTAACAGTGAGTGGGATAGAATAAACAGAATGCTTACATCAAGGGAAAACATTAAGGGCTTTTCCCTTTGGGGGTGGGAAGAATGCCCTACAAGCATTCTTAAAGTGAAAATCAAAAAATGACATTAAATGGAATCTTTTCTGACTATCTAATCAGTTCAGTGATTTCTTTTCTGTACCTATCTACTATATCGATACTTTATACATAAGATGTGTAACAATTTATAGAAACTCAGAATGACACAGAACCCCGTAAAAGTTTTTTTTTCTTCTTCCCCCCCATAAAAGTTTTTTTTCTGCTTCCTCAAAGTACACCTATTCAAATACCTTTTTCATTCAAGACAGTGGTAAAATAACAAATTGGATGCAAATATAAAAAGGGCTATAGAAATTCAGAATAAGTAGATTGTTAACTACTTTCCCCAAAAGAGTATGTACATGTGAGCTTTACCATGTGAATGACTAGTACAACTAAGAGTAAGGAACCTTCTCACCTATTCAGAAGTGATGACATGAGTAGATAAAACAAGGCAAACGTGTGGTAGACGATATAAACCAGGAAGCAAACATTTAACATTTAAGGAAAGAGAACTAAAGTCTAGAATGCACTGAATGGTGTGCAAGAAGGTGGGAAACTGTTAGAGATGTGGGTCCTGGTGGGATAGCTAAGGATTCTCTAGTTTCTCATAAAACAGTTATTCGAAACTTTTAGGGCAGGGAAGTAATAAAATGGTTCTAAAAATGTTACTTCTAAAAACATATGTAAACAGAAATGAAGAAAGGTTTTAAGGCTGTGGGTAGAACAGTGGTAGTGTGATGGGGGAAAGAGGAATAATGGGGCAGGAAGGATCAAATGGGGAGGGAGATGGAAGAGAAGGAAGTATGGGGAGGGATAACTGACATTAAGAGCTTTAAAATGTCTTATAGAAATCTGTAGAATCTTTCAAAAGTACATACATATACATATGTAGAAGTTTAAATGGTGTTACCCCGTAACAGGGGGTCATCTCTCTCCCAGATACCATAGTCCATTAAATAAAAAGACTAGTATCCAACGTGGGTTGCCTCTCTTTGAGTTATTGGCCAATGAAGTACTATAGGACATCCCCACACCCCAAATAATTCATACAAGCTATTGCCATTGATTTTGGTTACCTTCTAGACCGTGATAGGAAAATTCTGTTTTTCAAAGATGCTACATACTTGAGTCTTGGGATATGAAAAAAAAAAAATCAAGCTGATACTCAACTGGAAAATTCTATCCTTGCTGGCTAATTTTCATAGTTCTATGCATGTTAATGACAGAAAAGTCATTAAAAGTCTTACTCAGCTATGAACACATGGAGCTGTGGTAACAACTTTCCTGGCAAAATATGTCCACTGATGTAACAGTGGCACAGATGTTATGAGATTAACCAACAACATTCTGGCTGGATTTAAAGCCACCACAACAAAATGTAATGTATGCCTAGTATTGTTAACTGGGCCAAATCCCATAACTGGCTAGTTCATGGGCCCTAGGGGACAACCCAATACTAATAATCTAACTGGATATAGCAATAAAATATCCTCTATGTTCTTATCTTTATACCCATAGATTAGTACATCTCTCAACCCTCATCAGAGACGCTGCTTTTTGGAGTAGATGGTGATTAATATGGAGATCCACAACTGATCATCCTGCAAAGAATAAGAGACTGTGGGGTACTTAGCTTTAAAGAGACATTTGTATCATACCTCCTCACCCTCAGGCTCAGGAATCATTTCAGAAGAGAGGGTGAAAAATTGTAAAAGTCAGGGGGACTTCTGTAGTAAAGCTATATTTGACAGACATTAGAGGGTCATTGAACACATAAAGCTGTGACTGCATGCATAATAATAGCATCAAGCTAGCCAAATTACTAACATGAATGAGAAGGAGGGTCATGGAATCTCACTCCTGGTTCAAGAGTTATTAGCAATTGATGGAGGCTGAGGAGGAGATCAGTTTTTATAAGACCCCTGAGAGGCTCCCCATGATCCAATATATGGTCCTATACCCATGCACGGACACGCAGCACTTAGGGGACTTGTTTCCTCAAAACAGCACGTGGAATAGGGAGGGAAAGGTGATCGGGAGTTAAAGGGGTAGGGGAAGGAATTAAGAAATGGAGGTGGATTCGACCAAAATATCATATGCATGGATGCATCTATAAAATTCTCAAACAGTAATGAAAAAAGACTCTAGGAAATATTTGGGATTACAGTTATATGACATAGTAAATAGAATTAAAGCTGTAGTCTGAAAGTGTAGCTGAAGGAATCTAAGATATATTGCAAAGGTAGAAGGATAGAATATAGTGTCTAATCATGGGTTTAATGTTCTATCAATGAGGCTTAATTTACCACTTTGAATAACATATAGATACTGATTTTTTATGCCTCTGATTTTATATTATGCTAAAGTTGTAACCCAAGAGATGTGATAGTCAAGCATAGTATTATTTAAATTGAAAACTATGTCATGATGCTTTGTTTAAATTATAATGCAAATCTGCAAGGCATAAATAATAGTCAGACCCCAGTTGGCTGTTACTGGTTGGTAGTTGTCATTGAAGTTGGTAGCTGCTGAAGTATTGCTCCTGCTAGAACACGTTGCAATAAAATGTGCAACGTAATGTCATGCCAATAAAAGGAAAATGTGTTTTGAGCACAGTGGAAGCTTTTGAGGACCTATTTCTTGTTAAATGAGATTTTTAATAGTATAAATTTGAAATGTTTCTTACATAGTATTGTGTTCAGAATATTATTTTCCACTGCTGTTTTCCAAGAATCCTCCAAAGCAGATCCTGAATATAATGTCACTTACAAATGTCACAAAAGTATTGCTTCATTTTCATCACATCTGGATTTTATGCTCTATATATGGAAGACATTTTAAAATAGTCCATGTTGAAATGTAAAACCATCTTTACTTTAAATTGGGAAAACTAAAAAGAGATTCACTTTTGTTTTGCAGTGATCAGCATGTTGGTAAAATTTATTCCAAATGTTCTTCCTTTCTGGATTATGTCAGAAGGTCTCTAAAGAAGCTTGGATTAGATGAGGCCAAGGTCAGTGTATGGTTACCTTTTATTTTCATAAAAACAAGAATTCTTGGTAGAGTAGTGGATTGAGGCAATACAAAATCATTTGCTTTCTGCCTTTCTCCATCCTATAAAAACTCTAAATTATTTTGAAATTAAGCCTCTGTTACCTTTTTTGCAATTCACCTTTCCTGTCAAATCTATAGAAAGTTTATGATTGTGTATCACCAAAGCAACTCTTTCTCTGGGATTTTTACTTAAAAGAATGTTTAATTTCACTAAATAAAATATGGTTAAAAAGAAGAACACTATAAATGGAAATTAGAGTTGAATAAAGAAGAGATGATTAATTTTCACATCATTTATTTGCAATTTTATGGCTAATTATAATTTTCAGTATTAAATTTGGAATGCTTCTAACTGTGAGCATTCTGGTAAGTTGGGACATCACAGTAGCTATGAGCTAACATTGTTGATAACATCATTGAAAGTAAATAGTAGGCTAATTGGCTCATAAAAAACTCAATATAATTCAAGTTATACATTAACTAAAATATTAAACTGAACTACTGAATATGCCATGTTACAGTGGCATATTAAATTGATTGTAAATTTAAAAATAATAATATATCCTTTAGTCTCTTTTCTGGTTGCTGTGGTAAAATGCCCTAACAAAAGCTTTAGGAAAAAAAGATTAATTTCAGCTCACACCTCCAGCCTACATCTTTCCATAATAGCGAGATCATCGTGGTAGGAGCTTGAGGAAGTTGGTCATATCATGTCCATAATCAAAGACCGAGAGCAACAAGTACATCAGTTCACTTCCTCCACTGTTCTATGGTTCAGCATCTCCTGCCTACCAAACAGTGCTACCTACAGTGAATGCATCTTTGCACCCCAGTTTTTTTCAGTATAATCAATGAAATCCCCATAGACTTGCCCGGGACCACTGAGATGCAGATAGTCCTCTTCCCACATGATTTCAGATTATATCCATTGATAATTAAAACTTACTATCACAGTATGAAATTATTCTTTGGAAAGAGAAAACTTACACAGACATAATTATATTGCATCCCAATTGAAGTATATGATTGTCTACTGTACTGTTATTATTTTGGTCTTAATTATTTCTTAAAGCAATTAGACTAGAAGTAGTTTTGCTGCTTTATTCCCTATCAAATAGTTGTGAAAACTGCACAATTTAGGAATAAATGAGAAGATACATGTCAAACTCACCCTATATTTATATGTAATTGCTGACTGCATGACACTACTTACTGCTTATTTCTGTTGATATATTATTAGTAATAACATAGTTGATACAATTCTTATAAATAGTTTTACTAAAAAATGAAGTCAGTTTTGTGTGGATGATTGAATGTGTTCACTGTGCCTTACTTAAAATGAAAATGTCCTATCCTTTCCAAAAATGAAACATAAAACATCCAGAAGGATTAATATTTATCCTCCTTTCTGACTTTGTCTTTGCAAGTTTATTATTATTAATAGTAACCACAGTAAAAGTTCTTCCCTACATCTGTTAATATTTAATTATTAGGATATTAATTATGGTTAACACTAAACACTGTATGATAGATGCTATGCTAATGATAACACATTGCCTTGTTTATTCTTCACAAAGCAGTTACAGTATACAGCTGAAATCATAACTGGAGGGAAACAGAGGACTACATAGAGGAGCAAACTCCAAAGTAGAAGTTTGCTTCTACTTTGCTTGCTTTTACAAGAAACACAGTAAGAAAACCTGGCAACTTACCAGAGGCTCAGTTTGGATAGTTGTGAGAATGAAACTCTAGAGGTGTGCAGACAATTTTAAGGGGTTGTCATACTTTTGTGAATTTTGCCTCTGAATATAACCTAGTTCTGAACACTGAACAAAAAGCCCCTCATTCTTGTGGCAAGAGAAGTTAAAGAATAACCATTTAAATAAGTCAGTATATTCTATTCATACCAAAACTTACTTTTAAAGACACCATATTTAATTAGAACCTGACTGCTAGAATTTTATCCACACTTAACTGAAGAGGGGAAAGGAAGTATTCAGCATTTGTCAGTTCTGTCAATTCTGTCCCCCGAAGAGGGCATGAAAATACTAAGAAGTGCTGGTGAAGTTCATAGTCAAGAAACAGGTTCAATGACAGACTAAGATCCAAGCATAAGAATAGAAAATCCTTCCTACCACCACACTACTAATGACACATTCAACTACTTTTTACATAGTATATCACTTTTGAGTACCAAAAGTTTATAAGGCATATTGAAGATAATAAACAGTTTGAAGAGATGGAACTCGTCACAACCACATTGAGATATGACAAGGACAGTGGACATGTTAATCTGCAGTTGCAAATAGAGCAATATGCCAAAGGTTTGATTTAATAAATTGGATAGCACCCAAGACCAGATAGACAGTGTAAGCAGAGATTTTGGACAGTCTAAGACAGAATTTTAAAAAGATTTTAGAAGTAGTTCAAAATACCCAGGCAGGAAGATTACAAAAACCAGAGGTGGTGGATGCCTCCAAAGAAACAGTGTCTTCATAAGAAAGTGTTCAACATCCTTAGCCATCAGGGAAATGCAAATCAAAACAACTCTGAGATTCTGTCTTACGCCTGTCAGAATGGCCATAATCAAAAACGCCAATGACAGTTTATGCTGGAGAGGATGTGGAGAAAGGGGAACACTTCTCCACTGCTGGTGGGAGTGCCAACTTGTACAGCCACTTTGGAAATCAGTATGGCGACTCCTCAAGAAAATGGGAATCAGTCTACCACAAGATCCAGCAATTCCACTCCTAGGCATATACCCAAAAGAAGCACATTCAGACAACAAGGACATCTGTTCAACAATGTTCATAGCAGCACTATTTGTAATAGCCAGAAACTGGAAGCATCCTAGATGCCCCTCTACTAAAGAATGAATAGAGAAAATGTGGTACATTTACACAATGGAGTCAGCAGAAAATAACAATGGAATCTTGAAATTTTGAGGAAAATGGATGGAACTAGAAGAAACCATTCTGAGCGAGGTAACCCAATCACAAAAAGACAAACATGATATGTACTCACTCATATATGGATTTTAGACATAGAGTAAGGGATTACCAGCCTACAATCCACACTGCCAGAGAAGCTACTGAACAAGGAGGACCCTTAGAGAGACATGCTTGGTCCCCTGGAGAAGGGGAAAGGGTCAAGATCCCCTGAGCAAATTGAGAGCATGGGAAGAGGGGGGGAGGAAGCTACAAGAATGAGAAGGGAAGAAGAGGAAGGATGCAGAGGTCATGAGGGAGCAGAAAGGTTGAGTCGGGAAGAATAGAAGAAAGGATATGTGCTAGGTAGGGTTTTAGTTGGGGGGGGACTGATGGGGAGGAGGGGAAGGAGAAGGGAACTGGGATTGTCATGTAAAACAATCTAGTTTCTAATTCAAATTAAAAAACAAATCTGGGGAAAAAAAAAGAAACAGTGTCTTATAGACACAACAGGACCGATGCACATATAAACTCACATGGACTGTGACAGCACCTACAAGACCTGCCCAGGTTCAATCTAGAAAACTCCGCACACTGAGAAGGAGAAGTGGGCACCTCTAACCATGAAGGTATTTGGAATTGATACTGCTAAAGGAAAAACCTCTATAGTAGGGTGTCAGCCACCCCTGCATCAGGCATCATGCTTAGGAGTAGTTGGCCAACACAAAACAGACTCCATGTTGTGTGTATGTGTCTGTGTGGTCAGGGGGTTGCTGGATATTTTGTCTCATTTTTTAAAAAATAATGAGCAATTAAGATAATAAAACTAAGCCAAGTAGGGTGTATAGACAATGTAGAGAAAATCATTTTCCTCGATAACAACAATGAACAAGTTGAATTTGAAATTAAGATGCATCAGCATTTACATGAGTGCCTTCCCCCAAAGTAAAATTATATAGATTTCGTAATAGAATCCAAACAAAATGCCTTTAAGATAACCATAAACTGAGAAATAAAGTAGAGAGATAGTCTATGTTCATGGATAGGAAGATTCACTATTCTCAAGAAGTAAGTACTTCCCAACTTGGATCTATGTTTCAGTACAGTCTGAGTTAGTATTTCAGGAAGTTATTTTGTGGATGTTGAAAAGCTGTTCATACACACACACACACACACACACAGGCAAAAAAAAAAAAAGCAAATGAGCTAACAATAGTATATGAAATCAAAGCTTAAGGATGGTTACTAGGTAACTAAGGTTTACTATAAAGAGGAGATATTTGCAGACTAATAGACAAATGGATCAAAGAACAGAATTGAGAGCCTGGAAATAGACCCACACAGATGCAACCAGGTGGTCTTTGGCAAATTGTCAAAAACAGTACAGCAGAGCAAAGAATCTCTTTTTCACCATGAAGTGTTCAAACAATAGGACACACACAAGTAGAAAAGTGAATTTAGAAACAAACTTTACATCTTTCCCAAACTCAAAGTGAATTACATATATCAATGTAAAATCCTAGACTATGATAATACTAGAAGATAGCAGGAGAATCTGTATGTTGATATAATGACTTTTCAAGTAGAGCTGCAAAAGTCAAAATTCATGAAAGGTGTACTACTTAGAATGGAGCCTAACGTAAAGGACAGCCCTGGACAACAATGCTGTATAGATGTAGATTCATCACTTACAGCAAATACATCGTCCTTGTGGTGACACTGGTAATGAGAGGCTGCTTGTGTGCAGCCTGGTACATTACAGGTGTTTTCCACTTTCCTAAAAGAAATGGTTTAAGAAAATATTCATAGTAGATGCTTCCATTATTCATAACCAGTTTAGAAAGAGTCTCAGGAAAAGACAAATATCACTGAATAAAAAGACTATCTTAAATGATTTCTTACTTTTTATTAGTTAATAAGGATGCTAATAATGGCCCATTGATTTTCTTTTACAACCACTGATCCATTTTTTTTTTTTTTTTTTTTTTTTTGTAAAGCGATTTGAAGGAAAACAAAAGCATAAGCTGAAATA